CATTATCAAGTGAGCAGTTACAGTATACCCTTCTCCTGACTTAAAGATGTCTGTTCTCACTACATAAGGTTTCAGTATCTCCCTTGAGTTCTATACAATTTTAAGCATCAATGCTCACTTGTTTTTATCTTAGAGCGATTCAACTCCTTTGTTTCCGATGAGGACCATTTGTTCAACATAGATTTTCGCGTCACGGTTAGGGTTCGGGGTTGATATGAAAAGGGCGTCACAGATTCGGGTTTGGTCAAGGGTAGAGTAACCGGATTAGCTCGCGTTAGTGGCAGTGTTGTTGAAGTTGAGCTAATCGGGGTAGAGGTAGTTGTGCTCGCCTGTGTCTTCCTTCTTTCGGCAGCGCGTAGATCCAATGGTCGAATAGCCCGCTGACCTTGATAATCACAATTCCACTGGCCGCTGATGTTCAACGATTCCAAATTGACAACATAGCTGACCAGAATTCGGGTTGGACTGGGACGTTCGTAAGTGCACCCGTCAATAACTTTCGAAATGGCTTTTGGCACGTGACAACCATTCTCACCAAGTACACAACTAGGCATACAATCCATGTAGCACACCGATGTTTGAACCTGTAATTTTTTCATGGTAAAGAGAAATAGGCTTCATGATTTTGTTACTCATGAGTAGTATGGATAAAGAAATTAAAAATAAGATAAGAAAGAAAACCATTCCACTCCTATGAAATTGCGTATTTTGGATCAAAATTGGCACATTTGTTCATCGTTTTGAAAAGTTGGGCGTTGAAAATTCCCAGGGTATATTGGTTAAATATCATCAAAATCAGGTATCACTTCGCACTAAGTTTTCTGACCTTGTCCAGACCTTACTAGATAGGTTCATTCTTAATTGATGGTGATGGTCGGTTCCCCCCGTCACATATATTGGGACGATAAACGCATCAGCTAAAAACAGTTCTTTGGGAAATTATTTTTCTGGTTTGAAACTCATGAAAAAAGACAGTGTTCATTTATACTGCCATTCAACTTTGTATCTCATAGAAAAAAGAAAGATCTATTCAAGCACTCCACGGTTGGAATATTACCTAATTTTCTTGGAAACACCTGTGCGACAGATTGATGTTATCAAGCGCGTCATAGCCAAAATCCCATTTAAAGTGTGATGAGAGTCAATAGAATACTGAGTGCAACAGTGAAATCCGCCTTTTCGGCCTCCAAGTTCAGACATGTTCGCCATGTGGGTGATAATAGGACGCGAACAAAAAAACAACTTATTTTTGTTGACTTTACCCATGATCGTCAAATATACTGTTATCTATATAGATCCAACCACAAATCAGAACACCGCCTGAAGGGGATGTGGTGGTCTTCTATTCCATAGTTGCACTCTTGGTAGAAATCGAACACCAAATCGACAATACGTTAGCTTTCTCGAATATTTGTGAAGTATAACAATCAGTGTCACGAAAAATCAGGTTTCGGGTACTTGCTATTGCCGAGTTGATTATCATCGACCTCTCAGAACAAGTAAAATTTCTCTCCAAATTCCCCGACTGATTATCTATCAATTGTGCTAACCATGAACTTCCGGTAATGTAAGCTAACTTTCACATTCTGCCCTCACAGGCTCTTAAAGTTGATTGGACGAGATATATTTTAAACTCTGTTCTCTTTCCATAAAAATGAGATTGTAGAGGTTTGAGAATATAGATATATGTTCACCTAGAACCGGTGTTCTGAGCAGTACAGTGGAATCATTCATAGACCATGAGGATGTCACGTACGGCGTACGACACACACGTGAAAACGTTTAGTCACGAGCAACGCATGCAAACTGAGAGGGCGAAACTATTTCATTTAATGCCGCCATTTCCATGGAAGCTTCCTCAGACTGGTCCTCCAGTTCTGTTCCAACAATGATATTCAAAATTGTCTGCACAGCATGTGTACGAGTACAAATGCGTGAGCACTACGGTGGATGAATGGGCATTAAAAAGTGCCTAAATTGCAAGAAATTGCTCTTATGTGCAAATTATTTTATTATAACTAAGATAAAAGACAAGGATGTGGACAAAATCCGATTAGTTCATTCTATAGGCAAAGGGATGGACAGAAATCGGTTTGTTTAAATTGTGACTTCAAGGTGTCTAATTTTGATCGATCAGTGAAAACTATTGATTGGTCGAGTTGTTACACAGATAGTTTTATCGAGAAATACCTAAACAGCCCCTGGAATGAAAGCACCTACTTGTGGACAGAGCAAATACACCGCGCTGATGGCGGGCCATTGACTAGGTTCATCCACTGGTACCGATGCTCCGGGTTGCTGTTTACCTTTCGATTTTGCCCCACTGTGGAGAAAAGATGTGGCATCGTTCTCCAAGACAACCTCACACGTGATTAAGGCTTTTCGATCTGCATTAATCCCATAGGACAGCGTGACGAGAGTATCGGGTTGGTCTGAGTTCAGTGGTTGATCTGCGGTCAACTGATTGCGAACTGAACGATTCAATCGGAGTTGGGGCGTTGTGGTCAGTCTGNTGTCCGCGGTCAAAATCGCTTGAACAAGGCTGAGGTAGAATGATACGGCCCAGATCGATCGTGCTCTCTGAACTGACACCCAAGGCGAATCATACATTGCACAAGCCTGAAATTCGAAAATGGCGGGATAACTACTTTGAGTTAAATGAAAATGAAAAACAAACGATATTTAGGGAAGACCATTGCGTCAAACAACGAAACGCACAGATCAGTCGTAATTGCATTTATTTTCACCTAAGCTGGTTGCAACCGACATGATTAGGAGTTCTTTAGTTAAACTTCTGTTCAAATATTTATTAGCGTGTATAGAGTATTACTTCCGATTGTCTGATGGTGCCACATGGTCTGGTAGTAAGGATTCCTGACTTATTTACACTCAGCTTACCCCATTTCGAGGCATCATCACGACTCATCACGAGGCATTGCCTTGACTGCTCAAATAACTTGAATAGGTCAGCATCTACCTAGCCGGCGTATTCATTACAAAGAAAAAATACATTCTTATTATCCAGCGCCGTCAGAAAACATGCAATTAAGGATTTGGAGGCTTCCGATACGGTCCTTTGATCACTGTTTGGTTGAAGTGCTGGTACATCTGAAGTGTGTCTACTTCTGAGGCCTGTTCCTCCAGGTTTTATGAAGTAGTATTGGCTCCTCATAGTTTCGCAAAATTTTGAAGTACTGGTATTCAGTTAGGTGAACTAAATCTTTAACTGTCACCTTCAAGATTGCAAAGGCAACGCTTTTCTGCTTCCATTTATCGAAACTTATATCAATTCTTATGTTAACGTTTAGGAAGAGATTGTGGCGATTCCAAGACTGAAGTGGTATTACGACGACAGGGATAAGGGTTAGAACACAAACGCTCAAACTCAACGCGATGAAGAGTCTGAATGCATCACCGTTGCAGCCTATTTTGATTACAGCCACTTACTTTCCGTGGCTGGAACGATGGAACGAGACCGATTGCCCATTCATGCAACAACAACCTCCCGTTGCGACGGTGGATAATACCCTGACTAAAGATGATCGATAATTTTGTATGAAATATTGAGCTCAACAGAAAACTTCCTTGAAAATCATCAAACAAAAACATGTGCAGCATTCTTTAGGAAATTTTGGATTAGCCCATTCGACTGTGAAGAGGCACCAGGCACTCCTGGTTAAGGGTTTGAAGTCCAAACTCGAAAGTTTGCGGTTCGAGTCCTGACAGGGACACAAAACGTACGCGCTGCTGACGAGTCTCAAACAAAACGAAACAGCTGTCCAGTGCTCTTTGTCGGTTATCACAGACATTTCTATCACAATCAAATACAGTCCTATTTTCCGCTCTCAACTACACATAATAACCTGTTTTGACTTCAAAATCCAACATGTTTACATGAGAACCGTTTGTCCTTTTGGCCATAGAACTGGTTCTACGCTGTCATGAGAAACTGTACACAAGTAGCAGAAGTTCGATTCGCAATTTCAAAGCAGTTCAATATGGAGAAAAGGCGAATGAAATCAACTCGTCTACAGATTGACTGGACAAGTGTTTCATGTTCATGGACTACAGCGATAATCGCCTACTGCGTCATCGTTGACCGCTAGACGAGAAACCGCAGCAAAAATACATTATTCCAAGTTTGTGGCTAAAGCCATAAGAGAACTCCACGGTTTTGGATATAATATAGTTTTCATGAGACATAAACCAAAACTTTTGCATCAAAAGCTTTTAATGTTTGTCATGACCCAGTATATGAAAGAGTGCTTCAGGAAGGCTGTGCAACCAAGCGACTGCTGCAGGTAATCACGTTCAAAAAAAGCTAATTTCAAATTATTCTTTATGTCCAAAACACAGCTGGGTTTAGATTTTCCCGGTTCGATAGTTTTCGGTTCACTGGGGCTACCAATGCGGTAATCACTGCATTTATAAATAATCGTAGAAAGATAATAACAAGTAGTGTTTAACAATTCAGTCTTTGAATTCAGATGTGAGCCGATTTCGACCAGATGCGTTTCGATATTGTTCCGCATGGAACAATGTTAGCTTCTCATATACAGATGCATCAGAAATTCTCGTACACCACGTAGTCAAGTTTACTGCTGCTGAGAAGCTGTAGTTAAAATTGCAGAGCATCAGTGTAATGTGTTGTTCTACGTAACCCGCACCCAGCTCCGGGTGCACAGGCGCATACGTACACAGCTTCCATCCGACACGTGCACGCGCGCGCTCGTACGCATGTGTTGATTGTAACGTAGATAACAGGAAAATATTCTAGGGACAGCCTAGTTAACGTGATTAACATAGCCATTCAATAATTTATCGGAGCTTGGCTGCAGCTATTTTTAACTACTAGTTGTCTGCAGTAGTGAGACTGAGAATTCTACTTGGGCCGTTTGAGAATCTGAGTTCTCCATGTACGAGAATTTCTGATGAATCTGTATATGCCCTTTGTATGCATCTGCTTCCCTTCTCGTTGTGTCAACAGTCGATCAACCCTAAGTACGTGTTATTATGCAAGACTACATCATCCAAACGTTTTCAGCTCCAAAGATTTTGAGCTAAAGTGAAAAGAAACTGGCATATCATTTTTTCGCTTTTGCGAGACACCATTGAAGTGAAAAAGTCGTCCAGACTAGGTTTAATTACACACCTCGGATAGGATTTGACAAAGGAATCCTGGACTTACGTCGGGTTGCTAATTTGTAGTTCCAAAGTAAACTCTAAATTCGGGTGGAGGTTGCTTAATTCATCGCCATTGAAGGTAATAGTAACTGCAGGCTGCAAACCTACCCTTTGCATCTAAAACTTTTTGTCTTGCTTTTGGGATGTGTCCCACTTGGTTGGTTGTAGCCCTGTTTGCTGCTTATTGTAATAGTAATAACAATAATTTGGTACTTTATTTGGTAAGGAGAATAATTATGTAACCAAATTCCAGCAGATTGGAGGCACAAAACCAGAATAATTCCAAGAATTATCAAGAACCTTGGTGAACCCGGTACGGGATGCCGAGTGCACAGGCTCCTTATTGACGCAAAGGCCAGCTACAGCTCCAACCATTGATTTGATTTTCAGTCAACACAGTGTTTCTTCACGACAGAAGTGAAAGCGAAATGCAATATATTGATTTTATTTGCAGTATACATGTGCAAACAGGTATTTTTTGATCTGGGAACAAGGAGTGATATTGTTAGGTGTTGTGATAGTCTTAGCCAGTTGACTGAATGCTCCAGGCGATAAACATGTGCGATTGCGTTGCTGCGATTCTGTTCTTTTGGTAGTGATGAATCGACACATCTGTTCACACCCTGCGAATGTACATGCATAACTGGGCGGCTGAGATAAAGGGTTCCGATGTGGATCCGTGAGAGGTGTACAAGTTCCCTTCCCCTCTTAGATTTAACCTCTTGATTGCGCATGTGTGCATGTACGTGATTGTCTATGCCACACCAATAAATGTGTCAGTCAAGCAAGTCTGATGAACCTGGCTATATAAGTCATAATATGTATGAACCAGTGTGAATGAGTTCGACTTCAAGAGTCTATAATTCAATTAATAAACGAATCTCGTAGTGAACAGGGGCTGATAAACGTGAACTGTAGTGGTACGAAGCTTGGACAACCATTTCGATCTTATTGGTTCACATCAACCGTACGGATCCATCGAACCAACTGATGATTGGATTGAAAGAGATGCTATGCAACGTATTTTCATCTTTTTCATCTGTCCTCGTGTATGTTCACTCTAAAGATTACTTTTTCGCTACTAGATTTCGAAAATTAAGCGTGGTCATGCCTTCCGTCAATATAATTTGACTATTGTAGGGCTATCTACCAGTGCGTATCCATTAGGTGTTCAGTTGATTCGAAGTGATTCTAAACTTTCAATGCAATGATAAGATTTAAATATACAGGAATGTAACAATCCGACTTCTGGTCTACTTTCTTACTACATAGATACTCACTGCACTTGAACGTACAGTTGAGCTTGTCACCATCATTTCGAACTGTAAAGATTTTACGATTGAGTTCTCTCAGGACCAGGAAAAGGTGATCGTTGTAAACGGTACATTATACAAACCCCAATGCCATCTTTATTTAAAGGAAAATCCAAATATCTTTTCCAGTTTTCGGAAAACTGGTAATTTTTTGATGGTTTGTTCTTGTGCAAACTATTGGTTAGTGGCGAATGCGGGGATACTAGTTTTATATTTGAAGATCGCAGACGAAATAAGTTCTTTCACCCAGTTTGCGATATATCTGGGGCTACCGATTTTACAACATAATTCAAAGCAACCAAGCAACGGTTCGTGAACCATAGAAATGTGTTTATCTGCAATTTTGTTCCAAAAACCGGAGTATTCGTACGACACCTAGAGGCTTTATTTAAGTGAGCTCTACAACATAATCTGTTTTGAATGTATGGTGAATTTTCCGTATATATAGAGCAAATGAAGCGTGGAATACAAAGCGAGGGCGAACTGTTTTGAGCCGATTAGGTCTCATTAGCAGTGCCAATCCATCGAACCTACTTGGGATTGAAATCAGAACCCCACAGGTAGCATTTTACCCACGTAACGGTTAAGCAGGTTATCAGATCGTTTTCCATTTTGCCTATACACCATAGAATAGAACCAACCCTGGTACAGTTTGGGACAAACTTCATCACTTAACCGGATCAAATCCCGCAATGTTTGAATTCATTCTTCTGTATCTTTCCGGTAAAGTTAAGTGCAACAGCATAGAAATTGTTCATTGGAATGGAATGGAGATAGATGTATCATGGTTCAACTGCTACTGCTGAGCACAAAATTACTCACACGGACTCTTTTAGCTAATACTCTGTGTGCAGGAGGACACAGGTAAGCAAAATAAGAAGGGATCCAAATAGCGAAAGGGAAGCTCAGTTAGCGGGGTCAGTCCAAGTCCCGAGGCCTAAGCTGCCAGTTTCAGTAAGTGAAAATTGCATCTAAAAATATCCGTACAGGGAAGGGCCAAAAAGATGAATGTAAACAGAAGCAATAAGGACAGGCGAATCGCATAAAATTCAGTTCTATATTTACAGTACTATTTAAATGTATTTGGAAATTTGTGTAAGTTATTCCATTCAG